ACAATGACATCGCCCTCCTCCCCTACATCAAAGGCACCACAGATAAAATCAGCAAAATTCTCCACAAACACAATATCAAGACAGTCTTCGGCACCGACCAAAAAATAGCCAACATCTTAAGAAACCCCAAAGACATGATCCAGCTAGAAAACCAAGGAGTCTATGAAATACCATGCAAAATCCGCCCAGCCACATACATTGGACAAACTAATAGGAGAATAAATGCACGCATCGCAGAACACAAGAATGCAGTCAGAAAAGAAGAAAAAACTTCCTCCCTCTTCTAGCACCTTAAAGCTACAGAACATGAAATTGATTTTGAAGGAACCAAACTAATCTCCAAAACTGAACACCACACCAAGAGAATAATTATGGAAGCCATCAAAATAGAGAAACACCCCCACAACATGAATAAACGTGACGATACCTCCCACCTACCAGACATCTGGAAACTAGCCCTAATCAACAAACGAGTCCTAGCTACGAAAACTGACTCCAGACCCAGAACAATACAGTACGCCACCACCATTCACCCTCACCAGACCCAAACCCAAGCCCAAACCCATCCCTCAGACGAAATGCAACCACCATCCAGAAGCCAAACCACGATGACATCACCAGCTGCTGCACCTCCCTCCGACCCCCACACAAAGCAAATGGATACACGCCATGAACACAGAGCTAGACCGCAAACTCGGAGCCAAACCAAAGCCCGGTATGTTACATCACAGCCTTCTGCTCTGGACATCACATCACAGAACTCAGGAGGTTACAACACTAAAGCTCAGGATGTTACAACACAGCCTACCACTCAAGATGTTGCAAAACAGAACTCAGGATATCACTACACTAGATCTCAGGATGTTACCACACAGCCCATTACCCAGGTCGTTACAACACAAAAGACTAATGGGCACACAGCCAGCACCTCAGCTACTCAGGATGTTATGAAACAGCCAAATAATCCACAAACAATAACTCCAACACAGCCAACCAATCCTCCCACAGCAACTAAGCCAGCACTCCACACACCCCCACCAATATTTATAGAGAGACAGCAGCTCCAATCACACTTTGCTTGCACAAGCACGAAGCCGAAGACCCCAGCCTGAAGATGACGAGAGGGACCTCGTCGAAATGTTGCAAAGATACTCTCAATCTTACATGGGAAAAGACCCGAATACGCCAAGACCTGCATACCTGTATCTATGAAAATCTATGAAAACATATATATATTCTAGCTTTCTTCAAGATAGCAAGTATAAAATAGCAGGTTAATAATAGAAAATTAGTTTCTAGAGTGATTAAAAGAGACTAGACTAGAAATCAAGCAATTGTGATTTCTAGTCCTGCCTCAGGCATTAAACCAATTGGGTGACTTTGGATTTGACTAGCAACCATTTCCAAAAATCTTGCCAAGAAAACTGCAGAGATTAGTCCAGAGAGTTGTCAGGAGTAAAGACTGAGTTAAGAAACAAAAAAAGTTAATAGTTAATATTAGAAAAGCAAAGTGGCAAAGAGTCAGGACAAGCTTTCTTAAAATGTGAAACTCAGAAAATATGATTTGAGAATTACAATTAAAAATTTGCTTTTATGATTTATGAGTATATGGGTAGACTCGGATCACAGCACTAGAATGGAAAGATGGCCATATCATTTACTTTTCTCCAAGGTTTTATACCTTGGGCTGTGTATTTTCCTGAGATGTCTTCCCTTTTGTAGCATATAGAAATAATTTAATATGAAATTTCTATCTTTCATATGTTCAGCTGATGCAGAGGAGGAAGAATGGTAATTATTTTGTAATGTCTCCATGATATAAGAAAAATATATGCAATAAATTGTGGAAAAATGGAAAAAGTAGAAATATCCAAAATGATGTCTTGATGTCTTAGTTTTCTACATTTTGTTTTCCAACTCTATAAACTACTGCAATATATATTTTCCATTTTATTGTTGCTATTAACATTAAACATGCGTTAGAATGAGCATGAACTAGATAGTATGGAAATAGCATCACCAAAAATTCAGTTCTATTTTTAATGCCATTTTTAAATTAGTGGCTCACAGGATGTCAATTTTATACTGTTATTGTACCTACTGTCTGCTCTGTTTTTTTTCATTTTACCATGCATAATATCAACAGTCTATGACTCAAAGCTTGGATATTTTTTTAAAAGAGGGAATACTACATATAGTTATGATAATCATACAGGTAGTTCTTAACTTATAACCATTTGTTTAATCACTGTTCGAAGTTACAAAAGCACTGAAAAAAAGTGATTTCTGATCAGTTTTCACATTTATGACCACTGCAATATCCCTTCAAAATCACGTGATCAAAACTTGGGTGTTCAGCAACCGGCATATATTACAATGGTTGCAGCATTCCAAGATCCCTGAATTTTCTCCTGCAACCTTCTTAGGGAGCTCCTGACAATCAAAGTCAAGGGGCGGAAGCCAGATTTGCTTAACAACTGAATGATTCACTTAAAATCTTCAAAGGTTTGCTTAAAAATGCTTTACAACTTTACAACCATGGAAAAAAGGTTGTAAAATGGACATGACTTACTTAACAACTTTTTTTGCTTAGCAATAGAAATATTGGGCTCAATTGTAGTCATAAGTAGAGGACTACCTGTATCTCAAAAAGTATAAAGCTTAAACCTAGCCTTGCAAATTTAAACTCAACAAATGTAACAATTCTGGCTTTTTTTTTCTTCTCAATATAAATTAATTTGTTACCCAGACAGTAGGAAAAAAACAGAAGGAGAGTATTTATAAGCTTTTAAAAGTTAAAATAATGTCAAAATTGCATTCGTTAACTATACAAATATTTACATAGTTAATTGTGCTTCTTAATTAAACTCAAATAGAAGAAAGCAGACAATGGGTGTTCATGAAATGAATGTAAGAGCTGTCCAAATTATTTTTTCACAATATGAAAACAGTTATATGGAACATATGTGTTTTGCAATTACACAGCTTTGTTTTATTTCTGTGCTTCTTTCCTTAGCAGGATCCATCTGGTAAGATATGGAACAACCAGTTAAAAAGATAATACTATTGATGAATATTCATAAACAAGGTCCAGCTGAGTTTAGCAGAGTTAATCCTAACTGTGTGTGAAATTGCAGTTTAATGTTGTAAATTCAATTACTTCAGTAACATTTCATCCTAAATAAATATGAATATAATTGTAACTTAAGTTTCCAGGTGCTTAAGACATTCTGGATCCTTAAGATAGTGTGCTGCTATGTGTCTGTGTGTCTTTTATAATATCTATGCTACAATATAGATTCTTTTCTACCAACTGTATTGCAGTCAGAGAATCATAAAAACTTCACCAGCTCCTCAGAACAACTCCAGTATCTGTGGTCAAACAGCCCTTCAGAATTTCAATAGACACCAGCACTGTAGTACAAACTGAGTGTAATTTGGCAGAATAATGTTTCCAAGTGCTGACTTTCTTGATATATAGGTAGTCCTCATTCACCAACCATTTAGAGTTCAATAGTGATAAAAAAATAATGACCTTGCAACCAATTCTTGTATTTAAAGCATGACAAGTCTGTAAAGCAAAGCAAAGTAAAATCATGACATTTCACTTAGAAACTGCTCCACTCACCCTCCAGATTACTGGTCTCAATTATGGTCACTAAAATAGGACTACTTGTAACAAAATAAATAAATGGAAATTCCATTTGTTAGAAGTACAGTATATACCTACATAAGAAAAAATCCTGCAAGCCGAATTCCATTTCCAAATATTTATTTATTTATGAGACTTATATACCGCTTTAAGTGCAAGCACTCTCTAAGCGGTGTACATCAGTAAGCAATGTATATATATATTTACATTGCCCCCAACAATCTGGGTCCTCATTTTACCTACCCCGGAAGGATGGAAGGCTGAGTCAACCTTGAGCCGGTGAGATTTGAACCGCTGACCTGCTGAACACAGTCAGCTAAAGTGGCCTGCAGTACTGCACTCTAACTGCTGTACCACCATACCTTTACAATATGTTTACAGGATTTTCCTTTGAAAAGAATGTTAATGCCTTATGTGCTTTGGGAGGGGAAAGGAGGATCATGCAATTTCTCCATGTATGAGGAACAAGTCCATTATATCTTCCCCACGTTCAGAAGATATGGCTGTATCCTAAATCAAGATTTCTGTTTTCATTGTGGTTTTTTTCTATATTCTTCTATCTATGGAATGCCTTCATTGGGGAGCATCGTCTGACATCTATTTAATGTTCTTTTGAGGCATTAGGTGGAGGTTTTTTAAAAAACAAACAAACAAACGCCCAACATTTCAGCAACTGTTTTAGTGCTTTTTATGTTTTTCCTCTTGTCCCTGGTACATTTGCTACTTTGTTGTCATTTTGATTAGTGATTCTAATGTGGTATTTTGTCATCATTAAGTTCTATAGGCTTAATTAAACCAAAGAAATGCAGCTACTGGGCAGTTTAAGAATGTAATAAACAAATACAGTGATTCATGAGAAAGCTCAGCCCTATTTAATATTCTTGTTAAAAGGGATTCAAAGTAGTTTCTCAGTATTATACTGAGAAACTGATCAGTTTAGTTTATGTCACTATAAATAATTTAAATATTTATTCTGAGTTTTTATTTAGAACCCATGGAAAAAGCAGCTAAATATTAATTTATAAATCACTACTTCAGAATAATGGATCTGATGTGTTCTTTCATTAGTTATAATTACTCCAATAACTAATTTGACATAAACAAAGGAGAATATTTGTAGTTCAGGGTTGAAATGAGGGATCCTTGGTGCTCTCTGAGCTTAGTTCTTTTCTTGTAGATGTTTCATTATCCAAACTAGATAACATCATCACTGAGACTAATTGCAGCTGATTTTGTGTGTGTACATGCATATGTTTGTGTCTATGTGTGTACACATTTGTATGAAGATATTGCCAATAATTAAATGGAGGTATACGACATGGAGTTAAAACTTCACTATGGTACTTACTGTATTGAAGTTGGGGAAGAGATTGACGGCTGCAGCAGTGTCCAGTGAGAATGGAAGAAAGGGTTTGAGATCCAATGATGGCGGCAAGGAGGGGATGGAAGGTCGCACCAGGGCTGGAAGAACAGGGCTCTGGCATGTACCTCCTATTTAAGGAAAAAGAAAAGAACAAATGAAATCATGCATAATCAATTTAGTTTCATTCTAATTTGGACAGCAGATATTAAAACCAAATCAATAAGAAACCTTCTTTATCAGTCCCATTGTTTTAGGAAGCCTAGCAGTAAACAATTATTTCTTCCACTTGCTTTTCAATTGTTGCATTGATTTCCAGATTGCTCAAAGTGTGAGGCACATCTTCAGTGTAAATCGTTGTCTGCTGTAAAATCAGCCAAGTTTTTTTTTTTAGAATAATAATTTTTTTGAGGTCCTATTGATTGAAAATATTATTTGGGCAAACTAAGAACCTTTGTCAATTAACTTCATTTAGTCCAGCCACATTGATGTTACAATTATTTTGGAATCGTCATTAATATAAATTGATATTGATAACAATCAGAGAAACATTTTCCTAGTTTCTTCTTTAGTTTTGTTCTGGCCCTTTAAGGAATAATCCATGATAATATTGCCTTCTTTCTAATGATTTGTTCTATTCATGAATATGCCTAGAGCAGAGATCTCCAACCTTTCTCACTTGGTGGACCAGAGGGAAAGGGAGGGAGAAGAATTTTACATGCGCGCATTCACATACACACAAATGGGGTTGTGAGCACGCGCAAAGCAAATAGGATGGTGTTAGCATCCGCAAGACACTTGCTAGCACTGCCCCATTTTTGCTGCGTGGGTGCTAGCACCACTCCATTTTCACTACACAGCACCCGTTTTCACCATGTGGTGCTTGTTTTTACCATACGTTGTCCTATTTTCACCACATAGTGCCCCATTTGTCTAGCAGTGGTGGCACTAGTGCAAATACAGGTGACTCCATGCACATATGTGTATACACTGGCCAGCCTGTTCCACGGCCCACAGGTTAGGGACCCCTGGCCTAGAGCATAGAATAAGATACAATACAGCCAAAATAGCACTTATATTACATAATTAAATGATTTGTGAATGACAAATTAGATGGTTAGGTCTGCAAGGAAATTTAGAACTTTAAGCTATGAAGCAAAAGTTGAAATACATTTTCATAAGTCCTATACAATCTTTAAGAAAGTAGTCCAGATACAAACCTCGTTCCTTAAATATTTACATCACTTTGGGCCTTTTTAAGCAGTACTGCGTAACATTTTGCTCATAATCTTTGCTTCACTTTTAGTCTATAAAGCTGAGGAATTCATCTGAGGGAGGGATGTTTTGCCATAATCCTTATTGTAGTATAGTACTTTTTTATCCACTTTTTTAGGACATAGTTGTCAGCACTAACGGCAGAGTGAAATTACTGAATCAGAGGTTGGCTGTTGGGAGAAAGATGAACAACTCATCCTTCTCAGAACAAAAAAGAAGTCAGAAACATTTGCTTTTTAAAAAAAAAGAGAAAAGAGGACTTATGCAGCCCTACCATTGTAATGAATAAGCACACATTAGTGCCTTTAATTTCCTTCTTTCAAAAATGTGAGCTGAAAGTTATTGTTTAAAATTGTGGTTTTGCCAATTTGTTTCAAATACCTCTGGCAAGTATCCTAAAGCATGCCTGCAGGCAAAAGTAATATGAAAATTAGTCATGAAGAATGATTTTATTGATCAAAGACAGCCTATTATAACATGAATGGAGAAAAATATAGAAATACATTTTCAATTTACTCCATACAATGAAAAACCATTTCTGTTTGCAACACTTAAAGATTTTCTTTTTACTCTTAATAAATTAATTCATGTATTTATCCATAGCATTCACAAGCGGGCTTTATAATTAATTTCAGTGACCGATTTCAGTGAACAATCTAGAAATGAAGCATTCTCTAAAGTACTGGACAGAATTTTCAAAATATTTGGCAAATACTGATCTTTGCTTTCCTGATAACAGTAGGAAAGATATATTGAAATGAAGCCATATTTCTCTTGGATTTTGATAAGAAGATGTCTCTTTAAGATGGATCAACATTTGTTACTAACTCCTTATGACTGATTGCAATACATTCAACAGTCTGAAAACCTAAAAGTATTGGTTAAAAATGGTTCTCTATTTTGGTACATCTTTAGATCAACACAGGTGCTAAATAAGTTTTTTTAAAAAAATCAGGAAATTCTTAAACTTTGACTGTATTCTTTTAATCTGAAGAAAACCAAAGAAATGACATAGACATAGCTCACAATATCTCAGAGTAGAGTTAGATTCACAATCATTTTCACAGTGGCAAATAATCATTTGAAAAAGCAAGAATAGTAAACTTTAGGCTTTCATATATAGGTAGCAAATTCTTCTTTCTTTAGCAAATCTGGCAGGGGAGATACCTTGAATCTAAATCGAATCATTTGCACAATACAGATAATCTTTGATTAACAACCCAAATTAGGAGCAGCAACTCCATCGTTAAGTGATACTGTAGTTAAATGAAGCATCGCAAGACTGCAGTGCACTTATGACCTCACTTTTGCTGTGGTTAAGTCAGGCACTATATGATTATAAGTTATGATTTTACTCTTGGCTTCTCCATTAACTCCATTAATTCTGCTTTTTGGAAATTAGCTGCAAAACATGCAAATGGTAATCATGTGGACAATGTGATGGTTGTAAACACCCACCAGTTCAATGATAATCATGTGGTCACAAGGATGTTACTAGTCATAAGCACCAGGATGGATTACAAAGTTATTTTTCAGAATTATCATAAAATCAAATAGTTGCTAAATAGGCCGTTTCTAAGCATATCTACCTATATTAAAATGCTGTGAGAAAAATATTATAACTGAGGCTTCATTTCAGCTTTTAACTTATGATATAGTATACTAAATCATCAGTTCTCTGACTTTTGGTAGGAAATCAGTTGGCAGCCCTTTCTTACTCCTTTTCAGTTACTTTCTAAAATGCCTGACAAATTTTAGTGATAAGAAAACATCTGTCTAATAAATCAAGCAGATTAATTTATAGCTCATATTTATTTCACACTGTACCCTGACTTCCTTGGAATCTCTTGGTGATTTACAACACTTGTGGAAGTGGAAATTGAATCCGACCTTTAGAAAAGGGCTATTATGGAAGGAGAGTCAATAAAAGAATTAGACATGGAGTCAATGTTCATTTTAGAGAATCACACAGTTATTCATCAGCTGGTTAAATATCAGCTAAATTGACCTGAAGAGCATTTAAGACACTGTAATGAGTACTGAGAATGTTGGCCATATAGACCAAATAATTGATAAATCCAGCACTCAAGTACAATAACTGAATGTAAACATAATAAGAACCAGTTACAAAGTAGAATGCTGTTTTTCATAGATGGTCAGTTGGCCAATCAAGTTCTTCTGCCTGATACTCATTTCCATTTGATGTGCCATCTGGATATCTATAAAGTTACCAGGGATGTCAAACTTGATTTCATTGAGGGCCACATCAGGGTTGTGGTTGACCTTGGGTAGGTGGGGGGAGCATGGCTGGGGTGGCATAGCCAGCTCATTGTTCATGTTGGGGGGGCACCTGTGGTGGCCCGGATGGGGCTGGGGGATCCATTGTCTCCAGCTGAGGAAGGCGAGACCAGGGCAAGCGCCATACCTTTCTCCATCAGAGGAGCCTTGCTGTCCCTCTCAGGCCATGCAGAGGACCCCCAGTGATGCAGGTGCCTGGAGTCCTGGGAAGTGGAGGGCAAGCACCCAGTTCAGCCTTTCTCAAGGGGGTGCCCAGCTGTGTTTACTGTCAACTCCAAAAATGTGCTTGGCTGTAGCCATTTTCCCTATTCATTTTCGGTTGACACATAGAATGGAGGAAGGAGTGCCAGGTGCTTCGCTAGTATAAATAAACTTTTATTCCATGGGAACCAAGGTCATCAGCTGTTCCCGAGACTGCAGCTGGGCATTGCATAAAAAACTCGCCAAGAGGATGTATTGGGAACGTAGTTGCCTGCATAACCTTAAGGATGGGATTTTTTAACGTTGTATTGGGGAATTGTTACATGTATCTCCAGACTTGATTTCACTTTTGATATACCAATATTTTGTAATCAATAAACATGTTCTTTGAGGAATTCTCAAGCCTTGGAGTTCTGCTTTATTCATCTCTGTCTGTTGAAACCATGACCTTAAACCAAGTCTCTTAAAAGTTTGTTTTTTCTGGGTGCTGAGCCCTGACTGCATACCCACTCACTTTTGGGAGAGCAGTAAAGACTCGGTGAAGACTCAAGATGGAGAAGAAAATTGAAACCACTGCTAGCTGCAACAGGACTTAGGCTGTCAGAGCACAGGCTGGCACTCCAGCCACTGAGAAGGCATCACTGGCAGGAGCTCAGCCAAAGACGAGGGTGATCCAACCTGGGAAGCTGGTACCACATGAAGGAGCCCTAGCAGACCTCTTCCAAGCCAAGGCTGCCCCTCAGTGCAGGAGCACTCCTGTAACTGCTGGAGAGGAGCTCTTATTGCTACCATCCCAGGGTTCTTCATCTGCAGATGGCAAGAAAGGAAAGGAGCTGATGGGATGACTCCAGAGAGTGGAGATTTCAGTCCATAGTCCACGTCCCCTTGCTCAAACAGCTGAAGGAGAAGTTCGGCCGGCTGGAGGTGAAGGATGCTGCTTTGCCCATCCCCCAACCAGCTGTGATACCAAGCCTTGTATCCCAGCCAAGTTTGTTGCCAGGACCATGGGATGCCAGTCCTGGAGCCCAGCCAAGAGAAGTCCAGATAGTGGTTTGGCCACGTTCCCTGGACCAGCAAGCCACCCAAGTCCAGCAGCAATGCAGGCAGCTCTGCCAAGGTTTGAACTGCTTCCCATCAAGCCCACCTTTGATGGGGATCCTGAGAAGCTGAACTTCTTCTTAAACCATGTGTGGGCTCATTTAGATCACTACATTTATGCCTATCTGGATGGGGCTATGATGGTGAATGCTGTGGCAGCAAATTTAGAGGGAGAAGCAGCCGACTGGGTGACCAACCTCCATGATGAAGAAGCTCCTGAATTGCACAGCATTAATCTATTCATGGAGCAACTGAGGGG